TTTACAGAGAGGAAGGGAGAGAGATAGAGAGTCAGAAACATCGATGAGAGAGAAACATCAATCAGCTGCCTCCTGCACACCCCTACTGGGGATGTGCCCGCAACCAAGGTATAGGCCCTTGACCAGAATCGAACCTGGGACCTTTCAGTCCGCAGGCCGACGCTCTATCCACTGAGCCAAACCGGTTACGGCAAGTTACCATAATTTTCTTTACAAACCCAGAGATGTCACTAACAAGTCTGATTTAAAAATTTGGTGATCAGAGTTGATATGTGTGATTTTCAACTATAGACGCGCACACGTGCGCGTGTGTGTGTGTGTGTGTGTGTGGTGGGGAGGTCTGCTGCTTGCATCTATAGACGTTTATGGCATACAATGAATTAAGAGATAAGTGCAGGCATTGGCAAACATTTGCTGAAAGAGACAGATGAACATTTTCCAATTTGTAAACCTAAATGTCTGTGTCACAACGACCCAGTTCTGCCTTGGCAGGGCAAATGGTGCCACCGAGGATACATGACAAACAGGCCGGGTGCTGCTGGTTTAGTCCCTGGGTCTCTAGTTAGTCAACTAATGGACTAAAGGTTAAAAAACAGAAGGACTGCCCTAACTGGTTTGGCTCAGTGGATAGAGCGTCGGCCTGCGGACTGGAAGGTCCCAGGTTCGATTCTGGTCAAGGGCGTGTGCCTTGGTTGCGGACCATCCCCAGTTAGGGGGTGTGCAGGAGGCAGCTGATCAATGTTTCTCTCCCATGGATGTTTCTGACTCTCTATTCCTCTCTGTAAAAAATCAATAAAATATATTTTAAAAAAAAACGAAACAAAAAAAAAAAACAGAAGGACTGCCCTAGCCGGTTTGCTCAGTGGGTCCCAGGTTCGATTCCAGTCAAGGGCACATGCCTGGGTTGCTGGCTTGATCTCCAATAGGGGGCATGCGGGAGGCAGCCAATCAATGATTCCCTTTCATCATTGATGTTTCTCTCTCCCTTTTTCTCTGAAATCAATAAAAATATATTGGGAAAAACAAAACAAAACAAAACAGGAGGACTGGAAATAGTATTCTGGGCCCCCAAGGCCTTTAGTCCCAACAGCAGCCATGATCTTAACCTTAATTAAAAAAACATCAGAACTTCACTCTTACAAGCTCCTGGGGACCAGAGACACTGATCCCACATTCTTCTTTTTTTATTTGAAATGGAACTTGCTTCTAAGTGACAAAGACATGCATTTGTTTTGAAATCCTAAATTAATGAGCTTGATAAACTGTTACTGCTGGCACTGTCTGACTCTCTACTCTTAAATCTCCTAACCCCTACCCTTCCCTTTCCATTGACTTGGGACAGCCCTTGTAGACCTGCCAATCACAGTGGGCCTGCCAATCACAGTGGGAAGGGGGAGATCACAGTGCATGGGGTTCAAGCTCACATTGGGAGCAGCAAAGGGGAGCACCGTGCAAGTGAATCAGGTGTTTCCCTCTGCTCAAGACCAGTTGTTCACCATGGCAGGAGGTGGTGACGGTGGCTTTCTCACAGTGGGAAGGGGGAGATCACAGTGCATGGGGTTCAAGGTCACAGTGGGAGGAGCAAAGGGGAGCACCGTGCAAGTGAATCAGGTGTTTCCCTCTGCTCAAGTCCAGTTGTTCGCCATGGCAGTGCGCCCCCTGGCGGACGACCCAGGAGGTGGTGACAGGGCAGCGGTGGCTTTCTTTCTTGCCCGCATTTACCTGCACTGTTAGAAGCCCTGTGACCCATCAGGACCCAAAGGCTGTCTGATCACATGACTGGGCTGCCTGCGGTCTTCGGGTTGGGAGAGCCTGGCTGGCCTGCTGAGGATGGGTTTCTCTGGTTCCTCCTGGGACCGGCGCTGCGCAGGACCCGCTTCTGGGCTGTGCGCACTCTGCCTCCCGCTGTGCTGGGGACGTGATGGGAAGGGCTGGCCAGCTGGCGGAGTGGGGGCTGCTCACCTCACCGTTGCTGGTTGGGCCGGGGGTGTGGGGGGGGGGGGCAGACTGGAGGGGAGAGGAGGGGTCGGTGGACAGGCTCAGGTCCTGCATCACAATGGGCACTTTGGGAGATTTGCATTTCCTGCCCGCCTTCTGCCGCTGCCTCCCAGCTGCCTCCCAGCTCTCGGCAACCTCCTTCGTCATCTTCAATCTTTCGCGCCGCTTCCCCTCCTCCCCACTCTTCCTTCTTAACCAAATCCGTGTACGGACCTCCCTCGCCGACCTCAACAACACTGACCCGCCTATCAAACCCCAACCTGAACCTGACACCGCCTTCTTCCTAAATGCCTCCTGCATTTCTCACAAGCGGGGTGACCTGCAGCACCCCGTAGCCTGACAGTCAGGACAAGGGCGTTATCTCTACAGACTCTTCATCTGGGCACCGACCCCGCGGGCACCCCGACCACCGACAGATGCCTCTGCTTCCCTTCAAATACCTCACATCCCGTTCCTACGGGGCTCCCCTCGGCTATCCTCCCGCTGCTCCTACCCACCCCGCACCCGCCGACCCGGTGATGATTCCAAGCTCCGCACAACACCGCGCCCACACGTCACCTGTGAGAACCCAAACTCCTCTGTGACGCAAACACTTGCGAGTACAAAACCACACACTCACCGGAGTTTTTCCTCAAACCCACCAGGATAGCACACACTGTGGGGTTTTCGCAAAAACGCTTCAGCTTCTGCATTATTACGGCTCCCTCTACGGTGGCCGAGGAAGATCTGCGGTTTTTGAAGAAATGCAGCAAACCCTTCAGTGGCATTATGTCCGCGCCCACCCAGCGACGGCTCACGGGGGCCGCCATGTCGGGACACCTGCTCACCGTACAGATGTTACAGCTGCAACTTTGAGGCAAGTACTAGTCAGGCATGGCGGACAGGTGAGAAGCTACTGAAATGATCTCCTTTACGGGCACTGGGACTCTTAAAAAAACGGACACATTTTGAGAGCTTCGTGATGCCAACACGGTGCGAGCTCAGTTGCTTTCAGCGGGCTGGGCAGAGAATCAATTCTCCACTTTACATAGAATTAAACACAAAAAACGTTTACAAAGGATCCATGAGGACTTCAGGTGGCAGTAGAGCAGCGCAGGAGGCGCTCCTAGAAAGGGACAGCATTACACACCTGTTCAAGGGACACCCAGCGATAGCTCTAGCCAGAAAAGTTTTTTAACAGAAAGAATTTCGCCCGGCTGGCGTGGCTCAGTGGTTAAGCATCAATCTATGAACCAAGAGGTCATGGGTTTGATTCCCGGTCAGGGCACATGCCCAGGTTGTGGGTTTGATCCCCAGTGGGGGGTGTGCAGGAGGCAGCCAATCAATGACTCTCTCCCTCTCACTTCCTCTCTGTAATCAATAAAAGTAAAATTTAAAAATAACAAAGAATTTCAGAAGCTAGTACAGTGTGAGGCTGGGCATCACCAACCGGGAAAGAGGAACTCTGGGAGAAGGTTACTAGCAAGTTGTGTGTGTGTGGGGGGGGGGGGGGGGGGGGGGGTAGGGCACGAATAGGCCACTAAAAGTCTGGAATCAATGGCAAAGGCAAAACGGGAAGCCATCCCATTACGAGGTCTACTGTAAGGGTGGTGATGGGGCTGTAATCCAGGATTTAGGGCAAAGAATGTCAGACTGAGGTGTGCATGAGGCCGCTGTTAAAATGCCATAGTCCCCAGGTTGAGCACCACCTGGGAAGTCAAACTCCTCAAGCCAAGTAGCTGAAGCTGTTTTATCACAACAAAGGCCCAGTTTGTTCCATGAGTATGTTGTATAATAATTATTATTTTTTTGTTAATCCTCACCCAAGGATATTTTTCCGTTGATTTTTCTTAGGGAGAGTGTAGGAGAGAGGGAAAGACGAAGAGAAACACCGATGTGAGAGTATGTATTTATTTCTTAAGTTAAAGCCTTCAGAGATACATAATAAATTTGGACCAGGGGATTTGTAATTACTTTAAAAAAAAAGAGAGAAAAAAACATAATGTTTACTCATAACACTTAATATCATTTCACACTTTCAAAATTCTATGTTTTATTTAAAAGTATAAATACTACATAGTTATGCTTTAAGTTGCTACACACTGTACAAATAAAAGTTATGTTTTTAGGTATCCAAACTTATTTGAAACTTCTCAAAAAAAATTCTCCCCATGTTTTTAAAAGCCTTCTTGTCTAGTCTAACAGATAGAATACAATTTATCCTTCTCTATTATTCTTGCCAAAATGAAAAAAAACACCTTTATTTTTGTTGATTATAAGTTATACATGCTTCTTAAAAATTAAACAGTACATGAGAAAGGTTACCTGTTATCTAACCTCTAGGAAATTTAGCAATTAACACTTTAGAGTGTATTTCTCAAAACTTTTTTGACTGCATCTATAAGCATATGCAATTTCCCTTTAACTTCTATTAAAACATCTTTTACCACACAGAAGTTACATTTTGTGTAATATTTCTGGTTTTGCGTCACACTTAGAAAGGCCTTCCCTAACAAAAGAATATAGAAAATCCTTCTATTAAATTTTTGCTTTTCCCCCCAGTTAATTAGAATTTTTATATTAAAAAAAAATCAATAGTCCTGGATCCCAGATCAGTACTGGAGTTTCTGGTTTAGGGGGTGTGAGATGTGCCTGGGGAATTTGCACTCATTTAAATTTCTGAGGCAGGAAGCCTTTCAATCATTAGAAGTAGCCCTGTGCTGGACTTACTGGGGATCATTTTGTAAGTTATACACGTGCCTAATCATTGCTGTACACCTGAAACTAATATAATGCTGTATGTCAACTGTAATTGGAAACTTTAAAAGATTAAGTATTAAAGAAAAAAACTGCCCTGGAATGTTCTCTTGATACAAACATTATGACGTGTGACTCCCCTCAGTCCCTCAGTCCCGGTTCAAAATATATCCAGAAAAGCCAAACAGGGCAGGGCAAGAATACCCCTCTCCCCACCACCTATTACAACTATACATTATTATAAATCACTATCTATTACTGTGCATATTCTTCCTCATAGGATTTATCACCTGCTGAGATTGCACAATCCATTTACTGTCTCCCTCCCTCCATTGTAAGGTCCATAAAAGCTGTTCCTTTGCCTGCTTTGCTCACTGATGTCACTTTAGTGGGTAATACAGTGCCTGGCACAATGTTTGGTGCCTGAAAAATATACCTGAAGGAGTAAATTACCCCAAATCCAGCATTTGACATTGAATCCTGAAAGAGCCACCACATGGCAGCCACCAAATTTCCATTTCTTTCCCAGGAGCCAGCCAAACTGTTTATAGTGTGGATCATGGGAAACTATGGGACAGTTATGAGACGAAGGGAGAGTGCCCTGGAGAGCGAGAGAACCAGAGCCCCTCTCCCAAGAGAGAGGGAAAATGAAGAGAAAGCACTTGTCTCAATTCAGCAGGAAACAGTGGAGCTGGAAGCTTTGAAATGGTGGCAGCTCTTAAGAATGATTGATAGTCCCGTGGACAAATGCAAAGGCTTTGCTTGACAATATCCCTTAAGGATCTCACACCCCATCTCCCACATTCTCCATTCTTAGAGACTAAGATTCCTGTCACCCTTTTTACTCTATTTATTCTAAACACCTTTTTCTTTCCTGCTCTGCCCTGTTCATATTCAATTAAAGTTTCTAATCACACATGACTGTGGGGGACTGCCCAGCCAGCCTATGTGGCTTAGTGGTTGAGCACAGACCTATGAACGCAGTCAGGGCATATGCCTGGATTGAGGTGAGAGGCCTGCAGGGGGCAGCCGATCAATTATTCTCTCTCATCAGTGATGTTTCCATCCTTCTCTCCCTTTTCCTGAGGATAAGATATAATTTGTAGGGAGACAACTGTTCTTTATTTTTATTTCAGAGAGGAAGGGATAGGGAGAGAGAAACATCAATGATGAGTGAGAATCATACAGATAGAAACATCAATGCTCTGCTTCCTCCTGCATGCCCCCACTGGGGATCAAGCCTGCAACCTGAACCAGGAATCAAACTGTGACCTCCTGGTTCATAGGTTGATGCTCAACCACTGAGCCACCCAGCCTGGGTGAGACAACTGTTTTTTACAGTTCTTTACAATCGCCTTCCAATAGCTCATTCCTGTGACAAAAAACTCTGATTAGTAATTTTAGCACAACCAGTCACTTTCCAAATCAACATACAACTGGTTTTTACTTTTCTGTGCTGGGAAATATAGAATCATTTCAAGCAGTGCTCTCTAGTATAACTTTCTGGCATAATGGAAATCAGGACAGATTTCTCTGAGTAGCCATATTGTTAGCAAAACAAAGTTTTGTTCATTGTGCTGTCACACAGATATGGCTACTGAGCACCTGCAATGTGGTTTAGGCAGGGTCGGCGACCAGAGGTCAGAAAGGTCGGCAACCGTTGGTTTAGGTCACCCTTGAAACAGTGTTTATTTGTTTTGTACAGATGAAAAATGTAGTTGCCAATGGGAACCAATGGAAGACCAGGGGGTGTGAGGGCAACCAAGGCTAGAGGCTCCAAGGAGGTGGGAGCAACCAGGAGAGCAACATACTGGCGGAGGGGCATCCTCAGGCCTGAGGCAGCGCTAGCGCCAGCCTGGATCCTGAGATGTTGACAGTGGCAACTATGACTCACCCACCCTCAGCTCCCTCCTAAGTGACAGCCAACTCTTCTTTCATATTGGGGGCTCAGCTTAAGCTGCTTCCCATGAGTGAGCAGATCTGGGAGCTGCAGACCATCATCCGGAAAAGACAACCAGTGTAGGGACCTTTGTGTTTTCTGCAAATCATTTGACCAGACTTGGCGTGGAAGAGATTGGATCAGCTGCCCTATAAAGAAGGCATGGTGACCACTTCTTCAGGATATAAGGATGGAGTGAGATTTGAGAAGGGAAATTGTGGCCTCAGCATGAGTATCAATTCATATATTTAACAGCAGGGGACTCTCACAACTTCCCAGTGTCAGCATTTATACAATTTCTCTCAGGATACACTTTTCAACAA